TAATTCCAACTAAAGTCACATTGATGTCATTCACTACAAAAAAAACTTCACATTGGTTACTGTTAGTCCTTTTTATCACACTTGAAGGATAATTTCAAAAAAAATTATTTTTATTTATCCATTTTATGAAAAGCTCGAAAATACGTCCGAACTTCACCAGATTCCAAATAGTTCTCCCCTCTAACCTGAAATTAAAACGCAGACAGACCTCTCGTGCTTACTCAATTTCCCTCTTCTTCTTCCTGTTGCTCTCTCTATAGCGGCTTGCCGCTACTCTCACACAAGCAAGCAAAGATACCGCAAAATCATACGATCTCTTGCCTATGCTTGGAAGAGCAAAAGGAAAAAAAGGGAGTACCGCAAAATCATACGATTCTGCCTGTACTTGCAAAAGCAAGCAAAGATACCGCAAAATCATACGATTTTTGCCTGTACTTGTAAGCAAGGAAAACAGAAAAGAATAAAACAAACATATACCGCAAGATCACGTGATTTATAAGCAGTAGCACAAAATCGCATGATTTTGTCTAACGGCATGCCGTTATTCCGCTGCTTGCGGTTGATACAGACCGACAGACACCCTACCCGAGGTTTGTTCGCGGCCGTTACAAGTTTCCTAGATTTATTGTTTCCTCTTTACTGGAAAGAAGTACAGCAATGTGTGTAGAAATGGGCTATGGCAAAGAACCAGCGAGGTGACCCGACTTCTGGTGTGGCTTGCACGTGATGAGGGGTTAACTTCTTGTACTATTAAAATTTTCCTTTTGGATTATCGCGACGCGCTACAGAGAACGGAAACGGTGCTAGTGTCATTGCTGCTTAGGCCGCCAGTTCGTTTCTGGATGGTCCTTCGAGTGTAAAAAGAAAAGACGTTCCCCCCAGTCCTTCAGGGATGGCGATTAAGCTGAACCAGCACATCCCCTATCCGTAAGTCAGTTGTCCTAAAACGTCCTTCAGGGATGGCGATTAAGCTGAACCAGCACATCCCCTATCCGTAATGTCAAAAAAAAAGGGAGGTTTGTCATATTGTCTGTAACCAAAAAAAAAATAAAATAAAAAGCGTCTCTCAGTTCTTCAGGGATGGCGATTAAGCTAAACCAGCACATCCCCTATCCGTAAGTCAGTTGTCCTAAAACGTCCTTCAGGGATGGCGATTAAGCTGAACCAGCACATCCCCTATCCGTAAGTCAAAAAAACTCTCAATAAAGGTCAACTTGTTGATTTGTCCGTGGGCACTTACCTCCTTAGACGGCTATGACACCAAAATGAACGAGTCTGTGCGATGCGCTCTTCTTTTATAGCCTGAGTCTCACTCGCTTGTCCTATTGCCAACATGTTCTATGTGTTTACATGAGCTTTGAGGTACTATGCTTATGTGTATGCTTAGCTTAGGTTGGCTGTAGTCGCAACCTTAGTTACGACTTGCATGATCCTACTTGTACACAACTTAAAACCAACTTACAACTAGCTTATTACTATGTTTGTTCAAATGTCTACTCGCTAGGCACTCAGGTACCAAAACGCGTGATTCAATCACCGTTAGGTATGTGAGTGCTTTTTTTTTGTGTGTTTCTACATGTGTGATCGTGTCTTTGTACATTTTGTGTAATATTGTGTGTGTGATTGTGCTCTTTGCGCGTACGGGTATTGGTGTGCATTGCTATGTGTGACTCTAACGTTTATTTGTTTTGTCTGATCGTATATTCATTGTAGAGCATAAGGGTTTCTACCTGATTATATACCCTAACGGGGTTTATGCAGTAATGCGTAATATGTAAGCGTTTCTATCGTTCGCTTATACAGTTTTAAGGCATACAGATTTCTGTATGTTACTATGACCTAACAGTACTATAAAATCCTATGTGTGATTCTTTGGTATGTGCGTTTGCATGAGCGAGTGTGCTTATGCATTGCGAAGCATAAGGGTTTCTACATGCTTAAATGACTTAGCGGGATTTATACAGTAATGCGTATTACGTAAGCGTTTCTATCGTTCGCTTATACAATTTTAAGGCATATAGATTTCTGTATGTTACTATGACCTAACAGTACTATAGAATGGTATGTGTGATTCTTCGGTATGTGCGTTTGCATGAGCGAGTGTGCTTGTGTATTGCGAAGCACAAGGGTTTCTATATGCTTAGACAACCTAACGGTATTTATACCGTAATGCGTAATATTTACGCGTTTAAGGCATACAGACTTCTTGTATATGTTGTACTTATTTCGTATGGTTTTATACCTATGTTTGACTTGGGTTTGAGTTATATGACTCACAAGTTCTATGGCTTTGGGTTGTGTCGGACAGCTCATATTCATACCTATTCTGCGCTTTGGCGGTTGTGTAAATATTACCTATGGTTTTGTGCCTAAGTTCGTTTGTGTTGTATGATTTTACATGTTCTATGCCTACGAGCCATTTCATACAAGTTTTCTTCATTCTCTTTACCCTTCGTTTGGTGCTGGAGTGTGTGTTCCTATGGATTAAGTAGCGTAGGCCTGTGCAATATGTGTCTATACATTTTCTCTTTATACAAGTATGGGCATAGTTAGTGTGTGTTTTTATGATTTTAACTTTACAAGTATAATTAGTGGGTGTTTTTATGATTTTGCATTTGAAGTTGGACGGGGCTGCTCGTGTATTGTTCACAGAACGATGTGTGTGGACAGATCGGACTTGCTGACTGCGGAGTGCGGGTGGACTTTTAAACGGACGGACTTGTATTTCGTAAGGAAGCAAAAACGCTTCCTTATAATACTTATCGCAAGAAGATGCATTGGTTTTTGCACATTAGTAGTAATATCCAGTAATACGCGTTTGAATCTTACATACATACATCATTCCAACTCAATTTGCCTATGTCTGTCTAACGGTCTGTGCGCGAAAATCTTCAAAACTTTGCGTTTCAACTCTACATTTCTTACAGTTATGCGTATTTATGATTGACTCCAAGGTAAAAATATCTTCTTTCAGAAGGATTATTGTAGTGCTAACGCCATTGTGAAAGTATTTTGGGAAATCTATAAAATCGAACTAAAATCAAATGTATGTAAGGGCGTGTTTCCTGTTTTAATTTTTGCCAAAAAAAAGGCAAAAGATGAGCAATCTACGGACTATATTTCTTTCAAACATTACGTTTTGATAAAGAACACGTACAAGCTAAATAGGTTTATTTTTAAACTTCGCAAAGTAAACGACAAATTTCGCTTACCACAATTATGCTTATAAAAATGTGTTTTAGTCTGAAATCAATTAATAAGCCGTTAAAAAATTTTTATTTGCTTTAATCTTCAAATCATCACATAATCAGAGAGTGATAAAAATGAAGATACATGAAGAAAGCAAATTGTAGAACTGTGTGTTGCAACAAACACACACATTTATACTTAAATATATTTAGTGTATAAATCTGAATTATATAATAAGAAGTAAAAGCTTCATACGCATGCATATAGGTGAATAATAATAAAAACAAGCATCCACACGTATGCGGAGGCACATTTACCTACACAAACACAGCACTTGACATGACATTCTCAACGATTTTAACTTATAATCATTTTTTAAAAGCTAAAGAAAACAAGACCGAAAGCCATCATCATCCACAACAAAGAAAAAAGAGTACACAGCGCTAGCCTATGCTCTAACCATTTGCAAAAAATCTTCCAACTTCGGTAAAGTGTACATACGGTATATGTAGTAAGTACTTACGCATACATGCAAACATATACACATATTATCATGGTGAACATTAAAAGAGAAATGAAAACGAATAAGAGGAGTTATTTTCAAGCACAACAATTGCAGCAGTAACTATTGCAAGTAATCGTGATGGTAATGGTAGCACTAACATGAGTAGTAAAAGTTCGAAAACGATTAAGTGTAAAAGCAGACTTAATAGTTTGGATATGGAGCGGGGGTGGTGATTGGATAGAATGTAGGTGTGCTTGTCGGCTTTAATTCAATACATTCAAATTTATCTGTAAATATGCATATTTTACTGGCGTGAAGTTGGCCCACTGTAGGTAGCCCCTTGTTAAGAGATGTGCTACCTTTACGCTTGGTTCGCGCCTTGATAATTGAATAATATTGAACGAATAACGAAATAATTAGAAAACTAAAATAAAAACTAAAATAAAAACTAAAGCAAAAAAGTACCATTATAAGTAAGAAAAGAGATCTTTCTTCATGTTATAAAAAATTTAAAAAGAATTCATTGTATAAAATTTCCGAAAATTTACGATATATAAAGTATGTTATAAAAAAGTTTAACGAAGTTGTGCAAATTGCTTTCCTTGATATGTTTTAAACGACGCGTAAACCTATCGGAAAAACCTAATTTCATTATAATACGTAGACCCTATCACCGCTAAAATCGGCCTAAATTTGCCTTCACCATATACGTAAGACACCAAAATAATTGTAAAATATTTGGACGAAGTTGTGCAAATTCAGTTCTTTAATATGTTTCAAACGACGCTTATACCTATCAGAGAAGCCTAATTTCACTTTCGGTTTTATGATCGTAATTCAAGGCTTAGTTTGTTTTATGTGAGCTTGCTCCATAATATTTTGTAATTTTAATACCTATTTGCTGCTTGCTTTTTACTTTGCGATAACCTATTACTTAGCAAAGACATATATAACGAAGACGCGACCCTTTAAAAATGTGGATTACTGGGCAATTTTTACTTCGGTCATGTTTTTACATTCTATATAAATATATTTTAAGAATGTGAATAAATCTTGAATTCGAGAGGTAGTTATGCAAATATGATTTTTATTGTTTCTCTTTACAATTCGCTGTTTTCTGCCGTTGTTATACTCGTATACTTTAAAAATTTTTTAAAAATATTAACAGCAATGACAGCAACAATAAAAATTATATTCATTACACCGACATGTTCATAGATATATGCATACGAATGCATATAAAAATTTTGCACACACACCCTCATGCGGAATTTAAAAGTTATGATAACGCGCAGCATAAACTTACCTCAACAGATATTGTAAAAAGTGGTGCATGCACCGGACCCGTTTGCGATTCCAATTTATAAACAAGACCGTGCCGCAATTCATTCAACATTGCGACCGTATTCTTGGGTTGCGGTATGCGTTCTTTGCTAGCTCGAGCCTTTTTTTTGGGGGTAGCTATGAATTAAGAGAAAATTTTATAAAAATTACATAGTATTTGATTTTGATCGAAAGAAAAAAAAATTTAATTTATCTTATGTACAAAATTCTCACCAAAAGATTTTTATATGCAAGTCAAGTAAAAAAGAAAAACTATGTTTAGCAAACACACTTAGAAAATCACTATCATTAAGCTAAATTATATGATTAAATGGTTTTATCCAAGTCTTAATTGATATCTGGAAATTTTTGATTATTTTCTTGCCTTCTGTCAAAGGATGATGATATACTAAGGTAGGACTTAAAGCACTAACACAAACATCACGTACATGAGCATATGGTGAGAAGAACTGCTTCGTCAAAACCATGTGCGCAAATTGTTGTGGAAAGCATCAAAATAATAAATGAACAGTCTCAAATAAGCTTTGATGCCCCAATTGTCAAGGCAATCACCAAGATCACCTAATTTTTGACGTTATTGTTAAATTAAGAGAATGTAATTTGAAGAACTGCAATTTAAAGTCATAAATATGAAATATCTACAAATTGGGAATTATTCAATAGGAATAGGAATTGTCTGCAGTTCACCCTAAGAAATAACAACACGAATTTGTATTTCCCTAGAGGTTAGTGATCTGCATTGCACAACACATTCACACAAGCAAGCTCAGGTTAAGCTTTAATTTAAAATCATCATTTAGCTGGTCATGTGGGCATTGCCAACTTTGAAAGTCACTTTCCCTAAGCTTGATAGAAGAAAGATTTATGCGCCGCAACAAAAATACGGCCCACTAGATACTATCATAAACACTGTAAAAAATCTTAAGTCGAAATAGTTATACCGCCAAAATTCTATCAAAAAAGTTACAACATTATCACAAGAATTGGCAGAAAGCTATTTGCCTTCTTAGTTTTCTCCGCAAATTACTTGGTAAATGACTCACAAAGAAACTTGTTAACCTCTTTGAATGCTCGTCGATTGTACCTGAGGCGTAATTTTGTTTTGCGTATAGTCTAAGCACAACATAACACGTTAAATGGCCGTCAAACTTCACCACACGCGAATCCAAAATAACATTCAATTTTTATAGCTCTATTGGCACTGTCTGGCACAGCAGATTTATTACTAAGTTGCTCGTATTTAACTTTACAGATAATTAGAAATTTTGTAGCAGCAAATGGACAATTTTTTTAGTTATAACCTGTTTATGTTTTTTTGTCACATTTCTTGTGACGTTTCCAATTCTCGGCGTTGGGGCCTTATATTACTATATTTGATGCATCGCTCAGCTGTGCCACAATTTCATTCTGTCCATTACACCTCGCCGATAACATTGCATTCTCTTCTTCTGGTATTTGTACTAAAGAAATGCTCTCAACGATGTTTCTAAATATTGTCTAAGATGGAAGATTAATTTTAATGGCACTGAGTGTCAAACCATCTTTTTCACCAGAAAAAGAAGTCCACGTGTTTTGCTATATGGTATTCTAGAAATGGAGAATGATCAAAGTCGATTGTCACAAGCTATTAGGTGTTTGATCGCTATTTTAGAGAAAAAAAAAATTATTTTCAAGAAATACCTAGCGAATGTTGTTTAAAAGATAACTCTGTATATCGAAATTCCTTATTCGACAATGCATAGAATATTGAAATTAAATTTTGAGAATAAAATTTTAATAGCTAAGAGCGTTTTTCAAGCTGTTTTAATGTGTTCACAATATATAGCACAAATCAAGATATTATAGCTAACTACTGCGCTGACATTTACCAATTTTGAGACTTGGCATACTTGGCGTTCAAATCATATATGAACGTTTTAATTTTTTGAATGAAAAATTTCGCAACTTGTAGTTGTAGATTCCTTTTTATCCTTTTGATATCTTCAAATTATTCACTTCGTTATCATTTAATATACGTATTGTAAACGTTTTGTTCCCTTTTTACCCCGTTGTCCTAAAACCGGCGACTGAAAATCTACAAAATTTCAATATCTTTAAATTGAATGTTGCTTCCGGCAAACTAAAACAGTTAAATGGAAATCGCTTTAATCTGTTCTTAATGTAGCGGCAAATGTACGGTTTTATTATTATAAATATAAATGCTTTTTCATTTATTTTTAAAATAATTTTTACTCACATGAATATTTTGAACCTTCATAACGTCTCTTAGAAGGACTTTTGCGATTGTAACCATTCATATCGATAGACGGTGTTTGCACGCTCTGTTTATAAAAAAGTTACGATATAATGCATTTTTAAAGCTTTTGTGAATTAATAAAATAATTAAAATTGAACAATAATTAATAAAAATTACACCACAGATAATTATACATATTTTACATATAGAAACTTGAAAAAATCAAAAAATTACAGAGAAAAGGGATAGAATAGCGGTTAAACATCAAAAGTACCGTTGTATTATAATTTATTAACTTCTCATACAATTAGGTTATATTTTTATTTTTAGTTTAATCAATAATTGCTAATTAATAATATTTTAGGTGATTTATATTACGTTTAACCAATATATTGTTAATTTATCTGTGACAAACTTTTACTCGTTTTTACTTTTCAACATTTAAATACATAAGCACATAGATAGACACTTAGACACACAACATTGTTAATGTAAACAATTTTATTTAATTAAAAATTAGAACTGGATGCAGATATTGTCGCAAATATGTTCAGTGAAAAAAGCAGTAAATAAAAATAAAATAAAAACTAGAATCATACATACATAGACAATATTTTCCATTCACATGTATGTAAATGAGGATGATAAAAATTAGATATTCATGTGTGTACATATAAATAGTTTTGCAAAATTCCAAATTGTGAGATGACTTTAAGCTTTTTAAGACATAAAACTTTGCGAAAGGGTTTTACAATGTCAATAGATCCAGATCCCGATAAAATTATTGTTATTATTATTAATTTAGCCAGAGAGGTAAATTCAAGACTAAGATCTTAAAGTATTAACATCTAAGCTACAGGCTTTATTAAAAACTCTGCCACACTTGAGAGAGATTCAGTTGCTAATCGGAATCTTTGCTTTCGGCCACTCAGTCGAATTTTTCTACATTATAACTATCATCTGAAAAATGTATACTAATGACACGAATTGGTGCGATTAAATTACCTTAGCACAATTAGAAACAACGATGTGTTATTCTTGTGCCAATTGTGAGAATAGATTAGAGAATAGATAGATCAAACAAAAGATTTTATGTGTAGTAAAGGTTAAGTGGAATTGATCGCAATTACAGCAACTCCTGGCGAAAGTTATAGGGTAATTTCGTAGCTCGCGTGTCCCCCACATTCAATCGATGAATTATTGTACAACATTTCTATTCTTAAGCCCGAAACATTGTATTCTCTCAAAAAAATGGAAAAATTGTGCACCAATGAATAATATTTCAAATTAATGCTCTTTACCATTCCCTTGAAATAAGCGCTTATTTCCTTAAGTACATAGATCGGCAATGACTCATCTGTACGCATGGTGATTATTATATAGCTGTATTTGGTAAATTCGAAAACCACCGTTAAATAAGAGTACCAAGAGTTTTCATTAACGGTTTGCTCTCTTAATAATATTAGCTTGCGTTGCTAATGCTCACATCATCAATTAAAATTGTTTATTATTCGCCCAAATCTTAATTCCATAATGCAATTAACCCCCCTCCGAAGCATATTTGATTAGCCGACATAAGTTTCTGCATTGATATCAATCATTTTTTTGATATGAATATTTTATTTAAAAATGCAGAAGTATCAGTAGAAACGTTATTTTAGGCAATCACACCATAGCTAAATAAATATTTCAGATGAAATATGAAAGGAGCTAGTTTACAAACATTGTCTTAATAGCTAAATGCTTAATCCGTTTATACTTTCATTGATACTCTTAGGACGTCTAATAAATATAAAAAATGGTGGATGTGTATATAAGATATGCCGCAAATCAACTATAGGTTTTTTGCATGTTATAATTTAGTTTTTAGTAAAAAAGCGAAATAACTGAGAGGGTAAAATGTATATTAGAAGATATATTTTTCATTTTCCCCTATTTTTTGTACAAAGGACCCGCATAAGTAATAAACCAGAAGAAAAAATGCGAACAAACTAAATATTTTCAACACTTACAACAACAAATTATTATTCATATACAGCACATATCCAAATGCTTATTTAATGCTTATATATGTATATATATAAAAGATATATGTAACCTGCTGTTTATTTACTTACGTTTCCAAAAATAATCATTTTAGTTTTTAAATTAAAAGCAATTTTACCATAGCACATAACTATTTTTATTGTTTTTGTTTAAAAGCTAAACTGTTTGTTTTTGGGTATAATACAGAAGAAAATAAAATAAAACAAAGGGTAAATGCACGCTTGTCGTTCTAACGTCGCATGGCTTGAGACATGATTTGCAAAAATTGATGTAAAAAAGAAGTTGTTTAAACCTTTAACACAACTCTTTCTATAAATGATGATTAAATACTCAGAAAAACGCGAACTATTCGTTCGGACTGCACGGCAAAACTCATCGGACATCCCCGTTCAAGCTTGAGGCAGACAGATTATTTACTTATTCTCGTAAGGGAATGCATTCTAAATGGTTTACTCAAAATACGCAAACAGTTAGATAGACAAGCACAAAGCAAATTAGATAATTTCCTTATGAAATGCTGCTCAGCCACAATGAAGGGCAGCTTTCATAGCAGCACATCATAGCTGATAGCTTCAAAATATTGAAGCTATTCTAAGATCTTGTGCAAAAAAATTAACTGCGGAAACTAATTATGTTAAAAGTTAATGTGTCGTGAAGCAAACAAGACAAAAGTTTTGGAATTCTCAAGTTTGATAAGAAAATGCTTCGTAAAATTCGCAGTTTGTAGTAAACAGAGACAAAAGCCTTAGGTACACTGAATGACAGCTTACGCTCATTTATAATACAGAGCTAAGAAGTGATAGAATAAAAATTCGAACGATACCTTTACCCGCGCCGTTAAAATAACAACTTCCGCTATCCTCTACTATACCACAAACCTTGAATACATATTGTAACGATATCAACTTCCACACAATGATGAGTGTCCAAGATTGACCCGGGCTAAAACAATGAAAGCTTTGCTTCACCGCTGCTTCTAATGCATATTTTATTGTTAAGATGAATTTTTTGTTGTTGTTGGCTTTTTAATTTGTAGTATTTTATAATAAATTTATGAAACAATAAGTGAAGCGAAAACGATTTTTACATAAATTATTTGCATTATCATTATTATTATTAAGTATTATTATTATAGTAACCTGAACTGAATCTTACCTTTTTACGTCTATGTAAACACTGACATATGGTATGCAGCGCTTATCTGCTTCTTTTTTATTTATTTATATACATATCATTCTTAACAGCGATATGATTTTAAATTGACGCAAAGTACCTCCACTGCTATGTAATAAGAAACATCGGTAAATGTAGCTCAGAGGTATATGATATACGAAATCAAATAAAATTCTGTAATAACTATTTCCGCCATTATACCTCACAAACAAATGGCAAGTAATTTCATACTACTCGCCTATCCTTCCAAATAGTTTTAATTAAATGGATTCGGAAGAGAAACATTGAATAAGAACTTTTAATTTTGCATTTTTTTGCATTTTTGAGAGTTATTTCCCCCTATTATAGGAGACGCAATGAAGTTAGTATATCATCTGACGATTGTAGGTATTAAAATAAAGAAGAAAAAAAGTATCGAGTTTGCATGTATAAAGATAATTTATAAGAAAGTAATAGAAGAAAAGATATAACGTGATATTTTGACCAAAGAAACCGTAACAATTTTTGCACATAAAGATTCTTGTCCAATTATTTGTATGTAAATATTATAATATTAACATACTTGCTATATTAAATAAAATCATTTATGTAAAAGAAACTAATTAAAAATATAATTCAACGAAGCGTTATTATCGTCGAGTTAATAACGCCCCGCAGTCCATAGGGCTCTAATATTTATAACATGGCGAGCATTAACTGAAATTATTAAAAGGGAGGACCAGTGAATACTTGATGAAGTAATTTTACAGAAAACTTGCAGTTGCTCAAATAGAAGAACCACTACGAATTCATTACGTACGATGGTACGAATTCATTTTTAAAATATCAGAGTCGTTGATAGACGAGCACACTATAGTGTGCTGGGTAATATTGTATCAATTGTAAGGGAAAACCTTCTATATTTAAGCCGCATGGCATAGTATAGATTAACTCATCCAATTGTGCACATTTCTTGAAGCATGCACTACATTGAACTATGTACCAAAAACTCCATTTACTTTTATTATTTTTCGTATTTAGTTTGAAGAAAAGTGATACGGTTACTCTCCACCGACCAAGGCACGAGCGTGCAACTCTTCAAACATTTAAGTCAAGGTGACGCCTTCAAAACAGAAGACAAGAAACCTGCAGGTGCTCCACTGAAAATATTATTCGGTGAAAATCCATGTCGACCGGAATAAAGATTTTCAAAATCACCGAGAATGTAATAATAAACGTTATGAATTGGATCGACTTTACTGGATAACCGAGCTCGCCTATATGTTTCAAAACTTGTTCAGGAAAAATTAGAAGCACTCACCTAAGAGATGCAACTCTACCCGCCGTGTACCAGCATTGATTCTTGGCTTGTTTAAGTCACGTTTCGGATCTTAGAAGCATTTCGTCCATAACGAATAGCTCCAGGAACACCCAACCTAGCGTATACGTCCTAATTGTTGTTAGAAAAAGGTTACTATAGATGAAAGTACCAAGCACACAAAGCTGAAGGTTGAAGTTTGAAAATATTAAAGCGATTATTGTTTATTTGACATTTGTTTATTAAATCGTTAAGTATTAACAAATATGAAAATTAACATGAAATTGGTTTCGATTCCATAATTCTTTTAAATTTTTTGAAATTTTCGCGACATTTTGAAGTTTTCTTACAACAGTGCGCGTATGCGCGGGCGGAATGCATACCATTCATGGAGGCCCGTGGTAATTAAAAATATATATATCCCCGTCGCCGGCGTCAGAATGGCGAAAATTAGATTCAAGCGTCCGATTATATTACGCAGTAAAAATCGGGCAGAGAAAGTATCGGTAATACTTTTACTCTAATATTAAAAAATTTTTAATCCAAATAAATTACTAGTCGATAATCGC